GAAAGAACTTATTTGAAACGCTTTTTTCAACACTCAAGGAAGCCACTAATAGTTTTCTGGGTTTGTTTTACCCGTGGTCGACAGTGAAACACTGTGTCTATAAATTAATACTAATTACTAATGCCATTTTAGTTGCCTCGTTTGCTGGGCGTTTTCCCCACCAAACATTGCAATGTACGTTATTTTTTATTGGAAATAAATATTTTAGTTCGATTTGCACATTTTTAGTTGGACAGTGAAACTCCGCCTGAAGAGCATAAACCCATAATTGACAGTCATTTAGAGCACTCATAACGACTGTCTGAAATATGTTTACTTGTTGTGTTTAGACGGAAATTATGAAATGCCACTCAACTGGTGAACTAACCTCACATGTTATCACTTATATATTCATGGTTGTGTATGACATGTGCCCTACGCATTCTGATTGTCGAAAAGAATGATATCGCGGAGTGATATCGCGGAGTGATATCGCGGAGCACCACAAATCAATACGCTTGAGCATGGCTTAAGTGTCATTTGTATACTGAACTCTGGTGGCCATCTTTACCTTTTTACATCCGGAGTAGCAGTTTGAGAACGTTGGGTGGGGGAAACTGTAGTACATCTAATGTGTTTTAGATGCATATGATAACCATGATAACAACTGCTCCGTCGGATGACTCACATCTAGAATCTCTACTATCCGTATATGTCATGTTTATTAGTTGGTCTCGTTTTTTGGATTTTTATTATAAGTATCGGTCTTATTTCTGGTCAAGATAGGTATAAATATTGGTAATATTTTTCTGATTTGGGTCCGTATATGAGCGAATATCTCCACCTCAGATCCCGGCCTCAGATACATAGGTCACTGTCTTATTCAGAATAAACAGTGATGACAGAAATTGTACTTTGGTATAAATATGGGTATAGATTTTGCCGCTATCCAGGTATAAAAATGATCACACTTTTGAGCACTCAGGGGCACTTCCCTACCCAGCTATGTATCAACTGCCCCTCCCCCAGGGGATATCGCACGTCTTAATTTCAATGCCCATCTCAACATGTATGCAGACAGTGTATCGCATTACCTAACGGATTTTTAACAACTTGACTGAATGATATAACTGGTAGAATTTGTTAATTAACTCAAGCAAGTGCAAATTTATAATTTTTATCGTGAATATAAATAATGTGATATTGAAATAGTAGTATTCCAATAATCGGACGGACCGTCAAATTTCTTGGTGTCTGCCAGATATTCTTCAACGCACAAGTCATTTTTAATGATTTGCCTGTTGTTTGTCCAACTGTGTTATTTTGTTATATTTAGTTTCGAGGTTATTTGAGTGTTGCTCTGTAGTATGATACGTTCTAGAACTGACCAGTTTAAGTTCGTGGCATTTAACGGTCGAATATACGAGTACACTGTAGTATATCTAACTACCCAATCTACTGCTTATATCTGACATATCTGACAAATGAATCTTGACATATGTTTTCACAAGAATGCTAATTCTTCTTTTGACTATTCTTGTAGTAATATTTGCGTTCATGCACTCAATAGGTGTCAGAAACCAAACAGATTTTTCTTTCTTCAAACTTTAAATCCAATTGTTCAACTATTTCAAATTGCGTCATAAAAGTATTCCACTTTTCGTTGTCACTGGAAACTTGCACCCGTAAGTGTCGTCTGATTTAAGATATTCAACTAATAGAAATAAATTGTACTACAATTGTCAGATAATTACAACACTATTTTTAAAAAGGCGTCCATTTTCAGGAGTGACATAAAGTCAAACACTTTTGTATATTAATATCGATAATTATTCAGCAGTGCACTGTTGTCACGATAACAGACATCTTTGCATTAAATCTTTTTGCTGAATTGAACTTCACTTTTCATGGCAATGCGTTTGTCAAATGTTTCGCTACTTTATTTTTACAAACGTTGAAAGACACACCCCAGTTCCCATATATTATGCCATTTAATTGTACTGTGATAAAAACAATCCAATAAGTAAACCACAGTCTTACCCATTCACATAACATAACATAAACACATCCATGTCTTAAAATAGTATTGTACAATACATTTCAGTCACAAAACAATAGTAGGATGAAAACACAATTTGAGGAATAAGGATAAGTTAGAAACTTTTAACGCAAACATGTTTTGTATAATATATTTAATACCTGGATATTATTTACATGCTTTTTCGCCATATTAGAGACAATAATTACAGAAACCATATGTTATTTTGTTCTTTGAATATTTATACATTTTACTGTGTTGTTCAATGGATTTAGAAAACAAGTACGTGTCTGTACACTACCTTTTGCTGAAACCAACACAAAAACACTCCTGCACTCATGTTATGTTAACTGAATGGTTTAGATGAGTGTTATTTGCATAATTTAGAATAATATCAACACATATTTACTGTGACAATTGGTTTGCCATTAACAATCTGTATACGGACACGTTTTGTGAGCTAATTTTTGAACAATTAATGAAAAATTGCATCTAATAATACAACCTATATTTCCAAATTTTCTTCTATGTTGTAAATTTCCTTTGCAGAGCAATAAATTGAAAACAAGAATATATACGTAATATAAAGGTAAATACCAAAGATTCAGATAAAACATATCTTTGAATACCATGACGATGTTTACAATAGAGGTAAGAAAAACATCCATCATTAAAAAAAGACAACATCGCAGATTGCAAATGATTTAAATAGAATTGAACCTTATCAATTATATATGCACAGTAAAAGTGAAATAAATTACAATGAACACCAACAAAAACAATGCACACAGAAGAACCAACTACCTACTTATATTGTCATCTTAATATCTTAGTATTTGTGTTGAATTCACTGCATTCATGGCACCAGACAACTGAAATAATAAAACACTATTGTGAGAATTGCAATTTATATTATTATGTATTGTATGGCATTGTGTGTATTTGGGATTGGTGTCATGATTTATTTCCAGATCGATCACTGATATCGACTTGATAACTGGTTTCATGTGAAGTGCTGGTTAATATCATTCAACACTTTTCCATAACCTGTCATCATTTAAGCTTATACAAGGTCCTGGACAGAACTCTAGTCAGTGATTGAAACTAATTACGATATAAACTCTGCTTACAGACCCTTATTCCTGAAAGTTTGGTATGTGTAGTTTCTTAATATAGCGAAAAAATAATCAAATGTATATGACGTGTTAAATACTTTGTGTGATTGGCTACATGCGAGTAGAATGTGTGAAGGCCACGCCTCGAGCTCTAAAACTTCCATATGATTGGTTAAAGTTTGAAAGTGAATAAAGAGACTCTTGGTCAGTCTGAGAGATCTCCCCACGAGACGAGACGAGGCGAGTCTTAAGAGTGCTCCACGAAGTGAGAGAGTCTTGGGGGACTTTTCCCCGAGGCATTCTGTCTTGGAGAGTTCTCGAAGGACGACTGAGATTAGAAGTTGACACGATTCAAACTGTGTGCGTGTCTTTGTTCAGTCGAAAAAGGTTGCGAACGTAACGATCCCTGGTACCTGGCGTAAGGTTTAACAACACGATAAGTAACCCCTTATATTGGCATTGAATTTGGAAGGCAATACAATGATACCAGATTGTGAAGGTTTTTTGTCATTTACCAAGTCAAAATTCGTGTAAGTGTCACGTGATCAGTACAAACAGAAATTTGATTGAAGGGGGAGGGCTACCAATGATTCTCCTCCTACATATCAAACCAACAACAACGATATATATATTTACTGCTTGTTGACAAAATTATATCAATTGTCAATACTCACCTCCCAGGTACAGTCCAACTCTCTCCAAACTCGTATACATCAGAAACTATATTACCATTAGGTGTCATGAGGTCATCATCGGGGTTCCCATTATTGTTTCCCAGTAACCCGCATACATTTCCACGCATTTCACTTCCGGTAAATGAAATGTCCACGGCACTGGTCTCCTTCAGCCATGTGAGTGACAAACCAACCTTGTACAATGTAACAGTAGGGTGACCATCTTTGATATCCACTGTGCCGTCGTTATCGCCAATTACTGTATAAGATTTGGTTAGTTTGCCATTTATCTGAAAATAAATATCAACAATAGTTATGAAATCAATGACAACCTTATAAAATACTTGATATATATTTATGTTATATATTATATTTTGATAATTTGTATGACATTTCTTTAGTGTGTCATCAAATATAGAATGTATAGAATAACTCTGTTCAAAGTATTGAAACGTACTATTATTTCAAAATACGTCGAAACATTACTGTTTTCCGAAAACGTTAAAAGCAGTTTCATCAAATCTATGCTGTTAAAACCAGTGCGGTCACCGAAGTGACGAGCAAAGCCGTGAAAGGAAAGCAGTGTTGGGAAGAAAAGTGAATGGGTAAGGTAGTACTGTCAAACAATCGCGGTGAAAAGCATGCTGAACAAAGAGTTGTGGACAACACACAGCGGTTACGGAATATTGTGCAATAGAATATATATAATTTATAGAACAAAGAAAATGCAATTACTGAAACCAATTAAAATATGAACTGAATTTTTTAACCGAATGTAAATTATACACAGACACAAGAGTGAAACTTTTTGCAAAAAAATAGAATTTTAAATAGATACATAAAACAATACATTTATCACTTATTTACATTAAAAACATTAAAAGAACATTGTTCCGCTCAAATAGAAATGTTTCTATTCAGCTGTAATGAGGTTTATTTTATCTATAATTTAGTTGAAAGTCTCCATTTTACAGATTCGTGTATTGTATTTAGATAATAGTTACGCATCTGAATTTATTGCGACATTTTACAGTAAATATTACATACACATATAATATTTCATGAAGTGCAGTGAACAATAACAGTTGAATAGAACTTACCAGGAAAGTATTGTCCTTCAGTATTCTTACAATCTGATTTCCGTTAATGTTGATATTAACAGCGTCAATGCGTGTTAGATACTTCGATTTCAACTCAGAATATTTCCCACGGAAATCAGCAGTGATTTGAAATAACGGATTATTTATATCACTGCAATCTTGTGTTAGTACATACGTACAGGGACCTTGGAATTCGTACTTGACACCATCAAACGTTGTTACGTGAGGATCTCTATCGACGGTGCCACCTAGGAGTGGAGGGTCGGATAAATAGATAAATCTATCTAAGAATGTGCGGTATGTAAGTCTATACCAATCAATGAATATCGAATCATAACTGTTGTTTCTGGCTACATACACAAACAAACAATATAATATAATTATTGTCAAATTGACAATATTTATATCATCAAGACATCAGACTACGTTTCAAAAGTATCGCCATATCAAAAGTTTAGTTTTGAGATTGAATTATGTCAACTTTTATTTTTTTTTGTTAAATAAAAAAAGTCGTAAATCAGATTCCTACGATATCTACGATAGCAACCGATAAGTATCAAAATAAAATGAATAATCCGATAACCAACGAAAACTGCCTAACGTGACCAACAATAATTTAACAGCCCCTCCACTTCCCATATTTATTTGTCACTGTATCACGTGGTATAAAATAAATTAACAAGTAATGAGTCGCTTACATTTATTCACCAGAATGCTGCTTTTATAGGAAGGACGAGCTGTATCATACCAATCGATATGGTAATCTTGTAAGATATCGTCTAAGAGGAAACTCTCCTCTGCATACAGTCCGACAACAGCTAAAGTCTGAGTCAATCCGGTCTCCACTACTGTAAAGGTTATCTCTGCAGAACCTCTAAATCGTTGTCAATCCGAACCCGCATCTTCCTTCGAGGCACATGTCTCCCAAAATGCACTCACAGTATACTCTCCTAGAAACATGAAAAATGACGTGAACTAAAATACTCACATAGGTTATTACATCTAGTGTCCATTCGTCCATTACGTACCATTGACTGAATAAAGCATGGTATAGATATTAAGCAATTAGGGTCGACAACAGTTGAAATAGCATTAATTGAATTGCATTTGTATCCAAGTATCCACTTATTATATTTTACAAATTGCAAATAGAACGATCATGTTGTAAATTTACAACCGTAGTACTTGACAATGCGATATTGTTTACTGGAAATAAACACGTGTTTGTATAGTATTATCTGTGATCACAATTGCAATAAAGATAGTTCAGGGCAATCTATTAACTATACCACAATATATTTATATTTGTTTCACTTTTGAGCTAGTATGAAAATGAACAGTTTTCTCACTGAAAACCGCCATGTAAAGAGAAACAAATATACTATTCATATGCTTTCTTCGTGAATATTCAAAAAACACAGTTATAACCCATTTAGGGATATGCATGGGTACTGAATAATAATGTATATACCTACTTTTCATCTCAATTGTCATACCAGGAATCGGACACATCGTGAATGAACAAGACACCCGATGAACTCAGTGAGTCAGTTATTACTCACAGTTTGTTGAAATTATTATGTATTGTTTAACATAGTATAGTAAGCTCACCTCTACGAGTCCTCATTTCTCGCATCCATTTTTCCAACGTTGTTTGAGTTTCACGAGTTTGCAAAGCCTATATAGAAACACAATTAACACTCACTCTATCTACAAAGTAACCGGTTCAGATGTAGATTTATTCTCTTTTTTATTTACATAGAATATATGTATGAATGACAAATATCTACAGAAATATAATATCTGTAAATGATATCTTGAAACGAAAAAGATGAAAACCTTGTTGGCAATGAAGTTGAAATATATAAACTATGCTCACCAAAGCTGGCAATAAGGCGCAATGAACAACCAAGCACAGAAAGACAAAACTTCGGACGTCCATGACTAACAGTGGTAACTTGCACAATAACCAAAACTATTGCAATTGTAACAGATCGTTAGAAAGAGTCTGTCAGGTGGTTCATATAATCGGTATCATACTGTCATGACGTCATACTTGTGTTGGCAAGATTCTGATGCACGTGGCACGTGACATGTCAATCAAATCATAAGCATAGAATAACATTTCCGTTTTCGACATTTTCTGTCCTTTGGGGACGAAAACAACTGATTGTGATTTAAATTAAGAATAATTCGTAGGAAAATATGCACACCAATGATAATTTTCATAATGACTGATTAAATAAGAATATTACAGAAAAAAATATATTTGCTATATTTTTGAGGTTATGTGCCTTAAATCATGACTGAAATTATAAACTATGCAGTGCGTTGAAAAACACAGGTATGAGCAATAACTTCCATCACCGAAAGTTTTTATCGTGTTTTTATTTTCATTTGGTTTGATCGTTTTTGTACATTTCGTGCTAACGGTACTGTGATGGTTAAGTTGTTCTAATGGTACTGTGATGGTTAAGTGGTTCTAATGGTGC